AGAGAGAGAGAGAGAGAGAGAGAGAGAGAGAGAGAGAGAGAGAGAGAATGAGAATGAGAAAGATAGGAGGAAAGTGTGATTATTAAATCTCTCATCGGTACATTTAATATAACGCTAATTCATTATTACAGACATTATTGGATTTACGGTAAACGGATAAGCGATTGATTACAATTTTGTCCTAATGTTCAGAGAAATAAAACAAGGAAATACACACGTCTCCGTTATGCAATTCCGGCGATCATCACCCTCGATCCCAGTTTTTTTTATCTGAAATTACTAGAACCCTTGAGAGGGTATAATTAAATCTCTCCAAATTGTATTCTAGTTTCGAAACGACTGACAGACAGTATGATCATTATCTCTTAATTCCCTTTTAAACTGCAACTTCCTTTTCGTTTATTAATTTAACATTGTCGTTTCTTGCAAGCGTGTCTGCATTGCGACCAAACGAAATCCTAAGTCTATTGTTAATAAATGTTAATTCGACCCTTTGCGTTCGGAACTTTTAACGCATTCGAGACTGACGAATCGTGTAGCACATCGCATGTTTAAAGGATGAGGCAGCAACTAAAAATTATTGATGACTACTGAAAATAGTTTCGTAATAATGTAGCAGTCTCGAGTGCGTTAAAGGATTGTCACCTGCAAACTTGTAGCCTCTGTGGAACATATGTATATATTATACATCATATAAAATCATATACACTAACCCCACTTAATATTCAAACATTACAGATGCTCTACACAGTTGCTTTACATGTTGATAAATTATCGAAGTAGTAGATTAATTTTTCACGTTGCGTTATGTTCCTAATTACCCTTGCTACATATAAAAAATATATGTACTTCTTTAACACGTTCACGTAATAGGGACGTAAATTGTATATTTACTCTTTCTACATGTAGAGAGGAATATCCTCTATGAAGATGTCTCGAAGTTGAGGTGGTACTTTTCATTTAATGCTAATAACATTTTGTAGTTAGGTTGCATATAGTTTTATAAATACAATGAAGAACTTAAAGTAACGGATGCAGGAGCGCTGTTTTATGTACGAATGTTAGTGAGTAGCAATCTAAGGCACAGCACACTTATCACAGAGCGATCGAGAAAATAATTAAATATTTCGAAAAGTATATTTTATTCAACAATTGAGTTTTATAGCAAAATATCCAACCCTAAGGGATAGTAGCCATTTCTTATTGACCTTTTTAAATAAAAACATATCTTTTTCATTTCTAAATCTTACATTTATATTTTTCCCGTATTCACATCCCGACAAATTAACAACCATCATCAATTTGTACATTATTTACATACTTACGATACTTGTGCTACCAATACCCAACGAGTCTCGATCATTACACGATATTTATAACTATTTCCAATACATATACCCGAAGAGAAATTTATTTTTGCACGAGATCAATAAGAAAAAAAAAAAATAGATGTCTCCCTAAGGTTGTATATTGTGTTTAAAATGCGCAATTAATTCGATTATTTCGTATAAAAACGTACTCTAATCCGATTGGTAACGGAGATTTGATTAGTCTACCACGTTCAAAAATATTCTTAGCCACTAAAATACATTTTTAAAAATGTTCAATTACTCTCCAACCGCCCTGTACTTACAAGTTGTAAGTGTCAAGAATTCCTCTCCCAAATCCATATCGGCCCCGACGCGTAATCCGAGCGCAAAGAGTTAAAATAGTTAAAGCCTTTCGAGTGGCACGCCGCCATTCGCTTATCTAGCCGTGCAACGTCTACACGCGCTAACATTAACAAAGCGGAACCAACCGAAACAATAGAAACGTTTACATTCGGGTCACGACGAGTCGCTCGTTACCGTTCCTCGTTCTACTGCTCGCGAATTAAGAGAACGTAGAAAATTACAAGTATAATGCACTAGCGACTTCGTGTTTTTTTTTCTTTTCTTTTCTTTTTTAAAGTACAGCCTCGGAACACCTGCACACCTCGCCTCCCGGAACAATGCGTCGGTCGTTAAACCCACTCTTATCTGTTATCTACTCCATTACTTGTGTCTATCGTTACAATAACATTATTTCGTGTGAAATTCGCCACGTAATCGCTATATGTTTCGAATCAGCCAGGTGATCTATTTCAAAGAAGAAAATAAAAGTTAGAGCGACGCATTGAGTATCTCGCTCGAGTCACACGCACACGCGTACACACACAAAATAAAAGAGAATAAGAAAAATATTGGCGTACACAAACACGACAGGTAATTCGATCAGCTCCGTAAGGCAAGATAGCGTTTGTATCGCGATAAACATTCGTTGGTGGTAACGGAGTTTCGTGTACATATCGAGAAGATCGGGCCTTGAATAGAATTTGCGAAGAAAAATATAATAAAGAAACGACTTATCTCTCTCCGAGAGCGATATAACTGGAGATACGGAAGCTTATCATGATTGAATATTCTTACAATTAATTGAAAATTACGCTTGCAACGATAAATCAAATAATACGTGGTGTTTCTTTTTTTTTCTTTTTTTCAACCTGATTAGTCGGTTGGGACTGTCGACATTGTGATATGCTGTGTCGTCGGGACCGACCTCCCAAAAATTTCGTCGAAAATCGCTTAGCAACCTCGTAATTCGGTGGGCTCGTGTCCGCTTCTCCCCCTGTTCCGACCGCGACCTACAAAAGAACCGGAAGTATTCTGTAGTATTCTGTTTTAGAGTCAGAATTACCTAAATAATTAATAGCTACCAATACCTGGGCACTTTTAAAATAACATTTGTAGAAATTATATGAGATAACTTTGATAATAATATTGCTTGTACGCTTCTAAATTTTTTTATAAACGAAATTACAAATTTCACTGCGCCATTAAAGTAAGTAATTGATAAAGAAATTCTAAAGGAAAAAGAAATTGGTATAAGAAATGTGTTTCGTTACTATTTTACGTATCTATCGTCGTATTCATCGTTCCTAGACTATGTGGTAATTGAGTTATGTAAATCACAAGTATACAGGGTGTCTAACAGGTTCCCATACGAACTTTACTATCATATTATATAGCTAAAAATGAAATAAATTATTCGGAAATTTCTTATTTTTATTTCAAATTGAGCTTGCTCGAGTCTAGTAGCTACTTTGTGTTTTTCTCCTTTCTCATTCAGACAAATGACCGTGAAGCAGCCAATCTTCGATTCCAATCTTGATCTCCTGTTCGCGTGAAATAATGTGCAATGCTTTGTTCCCTTAGATTTTTCGTTGGTTTTCGATATAATAATACTAGTACTATGCGTAGATAGTTGCTCTTTAGAAAGTGGTCATGTGTTGTATTGAATATTTAAAAGTTACGATTGCTCTTAAAGAGCAGTATCTCGAGAATTGTGCAATATTATTATCACGGGAATAACACTCAGAAGCTTTATGTCGGTGAAGCGTAAAGAGAGAAAAGTGGCGTGATCTTGTTTGAAATAAAATAAAGTACTAAATTAAGAATCTCGTACACGTATCGACATACAACATTCAAGAGCATACACTTGACAACCACGTTTAATTACAGTGAGAAGAATGATTGTTATCGGTTGCATTTGTGGAAAACTTGAATGAATTTTCGTGGATAAATGAAAAAAAAATTCAAGAATAGTTTTGTATTCGTATAATCTCGTTTTAATATGTTACGTGCTAAATAAATAAATCTAATGATAAAGGACATATATACATATAGTGTAAAATACCTTTTTCATACCGTGAATGCACGCATTTTCTGGTATAGTAAAGATATTTTCTTTGTGTTTTGATTAAAAACTTTATTTCCATCGCTACAACAATTTTAAATAGGTAGGATATATATATATATATATATATATATATATATATATATGAGCAATATTTAGTATCTCTGTTCTTGTATACACATAAATATTGTCAGTAACATAGAAAATTACAAAATTTTAACAATACCATTTTTTTTTCTTTTTTTTTTATTAATATTCAGCCTCTGAGTGGCTTAGGAATGATAAGCGAAAAAATGTAAGACTTTGTACTTTACTCTGTCCTTTTCTCAAAGACGTTCTTTCCCTTTAACTCTATGTTAACACGATATTAAATATTTCTCTTTGTATTCGTCAGGTCGCGTAACGAGTAGTAAACCTAGTAAAACAGAATGAACGTTGTGCTATGCAATTTTGAAAAAAAAAAAAAAATAATGACATAAAGAGAAAACAAAAACGTAAGATGAAGATTCATGAGCGTACTGTTTGGAACCACAAAGTTAAACAAACTCACAACGCGATAAGGGTGAGACAAAACTCTTTACACTGTTATATACTCCAATACCTGCACGTAACAGGAAAAGCTGCCAAACTCTCCTGTATATTATTTTCTTAACTACGTATCTTCGGTCATACTAGTGTAGTGAACTACCAGGAAGTCTTGGGGAGTATTATTATAAATTTTCACTACCTCTGCGTATCTGATTGAGACATGCCAGCATTCTGATCATAAAAGTAGCAGGTACGGTCATTGTGTCTCTGGTCTCTTCCAACATGATCGCGTTCCTCTTTTTCAACTGGAAATATCCAGAAATTGTTGTACCGTTTACACGAACAGTGCATTAGTAGCAGAGATGGACAAAATTTAAGAATTTTACATTGAACGAATAACAGATTAAAAAATATTTTTCTATTCAATATTAAAAGTTCGTTATGTAGATGAAAATTCTGTCCATATCTGGCTTCATGTGACTTACATCTTCGGCAAAGTTCTCGTCAAAGGTGGACTCGTCGTTTATGGGTGCCCAGAGCTTGACATCGTAATCGATGCCTGCGGTAGCCAGCAAAGGCAAATACGGATGGGGTTGTAGACAGTTGACCACGTGTTGATCAGCCTCGAGCAACATGCACAGTTTTGCCGTGTCTTTATCCCAGATGAACACGTGGCCGCAGTCGCTACCCGACATGACGAAATCGTTGCCCCAGAAGTTCGCTTCTTTGATCATGGTCCTAAAGAAACTAGAGTCAACCGGGGGGGGAAGGCCAACCGATCAGATAAAATATGGACGGCCCCCTGA